CTGGGGTAACTGAAGGAAACCCACGCAGGCACAGGGAGAACATGCAAAATCCAGGCAGGTAGTGCTGTGGTTCGGATTTGAAGTTATGACGTAGTGCTGCCAGGTGGAAGTGCTAATCGCTTAGCCATTCTGTTGCCCACTTCAAGTGCAACTACAAAAAATAACCACTTTCCGACTGCAATACATATATATACATTGCAGTTTGCAAGTGGTTAACCAAGGGTATCTTTTTTTTTGAACCAGGGGTCAGCTTGCTCATGACAGTGGTTCAAGTGGCTGATTAGCCACTGGTCTCCATCTTCTCTGATCGCCTCTATGCCCCTGGAGGATCGCAGCAATGGCATACCGTAATTTCTGATTCGAGGCGGATGTAAGCATTTTTATTTATTTATTTTTTTAAGCAAAAGATCAAAAGATTTTTTCTTAGATTTTGCTTTTAAGGGTAAAGGAGAGATTTGGGGTCTCTTTTGACCCCAGGTCTCTCCTTGAAGAGGTCCTGTTATCCTTATCTCTATTACAAGAGATGTTTACATTTCTTGTAATAGGAATACAAGTGATTAAAAAAATAAATAAAATAAAGGGACAAAAATAAAATAAATAAGAAAAAAAAAAAGTCCTTCCTTCCATGCTTATGCGCAGAAGTGAAATTATATGTAAGTTGCGTACACATTTGTAAGCAGTGTTCACAGCACATATGTGAAGTATTGCCGCAAACTGTAGAGCAAGAGCAATAATGAAAGCGTCACCTATGGAGATTTTTAAGTACCATAGTTTGTCGCCATTACATGAGCATGCGCAATGTTAAAGCGTGACATGTTAAGTATCTATTTATTCGCCGTAACATCATATTTTATATTTTACAAAAAATTGGGATATACAGTGTCTTGAAAAAGTATTCATACCCTTGAAATTTTCTATATTTTGTCATGTTACAACCAAAAATGTAAATGTATTTTATTGGGATTTTAAGTAATAGACCAATATAAAGTGGCACATAATTGTGAAGTGGGAGGAAAATGATAAATGGTTTTCAAAATTTCTTACAAATAACTGAAAACTGTGGCATGCATTTGTATGCAGCCCACTTTATTCTGATACCCCTAACTAAAATCTAGTGGAACCAATTGCCTTCAGAAGTCACCTAATTAGTAAATAGAGTCCACCTGTGTGTAATTTAATATTAGTATAAATACAGCTGTTCTTTGAAGCACTCAGAGGTTTGTTAAAGAACATCAGTGAATAAACAGCATCATAAAGGCCAAGCAACACACTGGACAAGTCAGGGATTAAGGTGTGGAGAAGTTTAAAGCAGGGTTAGATTATAAAAAATATCCCAAGCTGTAAACATTGTATGGAGCACTGTTCAATCCATCATCCAAAAATGGAAAGAGTATGGCACAACTGCAAACCTACCAAGGCCACCTTCCAGCAGGACAACAACCCTAAACATACAGCCAGAGCTACAATGGAATGGTTTCGATTAAAGCATATTCATGCGTTAGAATGTCCCAGTCAAAGTCCAGACCTAAATCCAAATGAGAATCTGTGGCAAGACTTGAAAATTGCTGTTCACAGATGCTCTCCATCCAATCTGACAGATCTTGAGCTATTTTGCAAAGAAGAATGTGCAAAATGTCACTCTCTAGATGTGCAAAGCTGGGAAAGACATAACCAAAAAGTATTGATTCAGGGGGGCTGACTACAAATTCATGCCACACTTTCACATATTTATTTGTAAAAAATTTTGAAAACCATTTATCATTTTCCTTAATTATGTACCACTTTGTGTTGATCTATCACATAAAATCCCAATAAAATACATATACGTTTTTGGCTGTAACATGACAAAATGTGGAAAATTGCAAGGGGTATGAATAATTATTTAAGACACTGTATTGTTTATTGTTTTTTTTTATTTATTAAGTGTAATTTTTTCCAAAAAATTTTGAAAAAACCACTGTACAAATACCATGTGACATAAAAAATTTGCAACGATTGCCATTTCATTCTCTAGGGTCTTTGCTAAAAACATTTAGAATATTTGGGGGTTATAAGTAATTTTCTAGCAAAAAACACTGATTTAAACTTGTAAACAAAAAGTGCCAGAAAATGCTTGGTCTTCAAGTGGATAAGATGGCAGCTGTCAGTGCCATGGCTTTGTCTAACAAAGCCTTGTGATCACTATGCCAGCACTGACATGATGATGCATGGCTTTGTTGATGAATAAATACATTGTTTATGTCAAAGACTGTAGAAAGCTTAGAAAGTCCCTAAAGGCAAGACTTTTTTTTCATTTTGGATAGAGTGGAGAACGATTAGAGCACCTGCTGTCTGTGTCACCTTCTCTATTTGTCCTGTTTACCATTATTCTTTGATGCTTGCATTTTCAGTTTTGCAGAAACGCACTACAGTCCATTTAACATGTTTGCCTATGGGTCAGGTTCACATCTGTGCGTTTTCAAATGGAGTATTTTTTTTGGAAAGGGTGAGGAATTTTTTTTTTGCCTGCAGCAGGTTGCGTTTTTGGCTTCATAAACTTAGATGACAACAAAGCAGAAACACATAAAAAAATGCAGTGCTCACTTTTTTTATGTGTTTCTGCTGCGTATTTGCTGGTTTCTTCTGCATGACAGATACCACCTAAAAATGTAAAACACATTAAAAACAGGTGTCAGGCAAACACACCAGGAAAATGCATCAACTGCAACCTGCGTAAGTGTGAACCTAGCCTGAAAGTGAAAGCAAAAGAAAATCCAAAATTTGGGGTTGGTTTCAGAACAGTAACAGAGGGGAAATCTTTCAATGGGGACACTAGTTTTGGTGACCCTTGGATTCCCTAATTTTGGAGGGATTTTCTCTCATTTCCTGTTTTGGCTATGGGACAGAAAATAAAGGGAAATTTCCCCAATGGGACACAGATGGCAAAAAAAAAGATGACAGGGGTTACACCCCTCCCTTGCTCTATAAAAAAAAAAAAGTTTTGACTTTAGTGACATTTTAGGTGAATGTAAGCTATCTATGGAGGAAAGGCATTACTGTCAGCATAGAAAGGGGTTGTTGATGGTTCTAGTTGTAGAGCTATGGAATTCATTAAGATGTAATAGCAAAATAAATACAGAGCCTAGGTGATTTTCGTATACCATATGGTATTAATAGTATCCAAGGTCTTGGTAGATTCTTTGAGAAAGTGCTGTGCCTGGCATGAAACATGTCAGAATAGAATTTGTTCCTGCTGGCTATTTTAATAAAGGGATATTATTTTGCATCTTGGTGTGCAATTTTCCTGTTGTTGGTAAAATTGATTGCTTCAGTGAAGACAAGTCAAGACAGCACCTGAGATGTGGTTGTAGAGTATGGAGCCTGATCTCTCCTGGAGCAGCATGTGAAATGTTAACTTCACTACTTGCACTCCATGATTTACCTTGTCAGACTTTGGGTTATAGCAAATGGTGAAACTTACTTTTTACACACCTATCTGAACATGTGTGGCTGCATAGACATAGTAAGTGCTAGCTGAGCTTACTTTTAACCACTTGCCTACCATCTGAAGGACACAGCAATAACAGATCGCACATGGAGAGCATGGTTCTGGGAGGACGTCCAAGGACACCCTCCCAGAACTAGTCGACTGCGCTGAAGCCATCATTTGGTTAATGATTTGCAATATTGCCTCCATATGCTCTAGATACATATTCTGTGTCATTGATGACCTTCATCTCTGTTCTTGTATTTATACTCTTGAGAATAATCAAAGAAACTCTTTTTTTTTTTTCATTTGAGTAGTCATTAACTGTTTCTATGTCCCACAATATTGCATCTCTATGCTTTAAACTCTGTACATTTACTCTGTGAAAATGGATAACATTTAGCCTCATATAACAATACTCTTTGGGTTGAACTGGATTCCTGCAATGCTCTGCCATCTATATTGCAATTATTCATCAGCCTTTTCTCCCCTCCTTTCTTCAGCCTCCTCTTACTTTTTTCCATTGTTAGAAACTGCACAATTACCAATAAAGGAAGAAGCTTTTTTCTTGATTAAAGTATCATCTTCAGTTTAACCCCTTCATGCCTAAGGGTAAAACAAATCTTAAAGCCTAAGAACAATTTTGCAACTTTGACATGAGTTAGCAAAACTGTACATATCCTCACAACTACTTTGTGCATCCAAATGGATTATACCTTGGTTCTTTACAGGACAAACTGGGCTTTTATTTGGTGGTAAATGGTAATGCATATCTCCTGACTTTCACAGTGATCATGTGACCGGGAATTTGGAGTTCCAGGTCCCGATCGCTAGAACTGACACCCTGGTCTTTGTGCTAGGAGTCATGCTGCACAAAGACAGGTACGTAAATTAGCGGCCCCATGGCAAAAAGCCCAATCCAGTGGGGCCCCTAATTTGCATACACATGGCGCCCAGGGGTTAAGAAAGAATTTCCTTGTTACTGAAACACACACATGCCCCACAGGTGTTTCTAACCCCACATTTGTTCCTGCGGTTTATGTTTATGTTGATATCACATTAACGTTTTTGGAGGTCTGGTTTGTGTGACCTCAAGTACCTGTTGTGTTGTTTCTGTCTCTTTTAGCCACTTTACTCACTTCTACCAACCATATCCATCAACAAGATGTCAGACAGAAAAGACTGGGGTACACTCTTTACAGGTGGGTTTCTCCTTCTCTTCATAGCAACTTTAAATGTTTGTGTCTTAACCACATCCCGCCCATAGGACATCATTTGATATCCTTCGGTTGAAGTGCTTATACCAGGATGATGCCTATGCCTGTAGGCATCATCCCGGTATCAAAATTTTCTTCCCGCAATTCTCTTTTAAGCAGAGAAGATTGTCTGAATAATCACTTGATCGCTCCTGTGATTGGTGGAATAGTCCCCCCCTCCCCCCCTCAATTGCAGAGTCCGGGACAATAGCGTCAACAGTGGCACTACCCAGCAGGGCCGGATCTAGCCTTTCGGATGTGGGGGTGCAGTAAAAAGCATCAGGGGGGCAGGGGATGCAAGGTCAACAGGGCAGTGTATATAAGTCAGTAGGGCAGTGTACAGGAGGTCCAGCAGGGCAGAGAGAGATGGAAAGCAGTTCGTAGGGCAGAATACAGAGGCCATTCATTTGTAGGGAAGTTTACAGTGGGTTATCAAGGCAGTTTACAGGGGTTAGCAGGGAAGTGTACAGGGGGTCAGCAGGACAGAAGATGAGAGGTCAGCAGGGGAGTGTACAAGAGTCAGTAGGGCAGTTTACAGGTGGTCAGTAGGGCACAAAATAGGGGTAAGCAGGGCAGAGGATGGGAGATAAGCAGGGGAGTGTACAAGAGTCAGTCTGGCAGTATACAAGGGGTTCTGTAGGGTGCAGGAAAGGGGTCAGAAGGCAGAGGATGGGAGGTCAGCAGGGAAGTGTACAAGAGTCAGTAGGGCAGTATACAGGGCTTCAGTAGGGCAAAAGAAAGGGGTTAGCAGGGCAAAGGACAGGGGTCAACAGACTAGATAACTGGGGTCAGCAGGGTGGAGGGGGTTATCAGGGCAAAGACAGGGCAGAAGGGCAGAAGACAGGGCAGTAGGGCAGAAAAAAAGGGGGGTCAGCAGGACAGAGGACTGGTCAGAAAGGCAGTGTGTGGGGATCAGCAGGATGGAGGACAGGGGTCAGCAGGGCAGGGTACAGAAGGTCAGCAGGGTAAAGGACAGGGGTCAGAAGAGAAGAGGACTGGGTCAAAACTGCAACATAGCAGCCAGCTGTACAGTGCAGATTGAGGCCGTGTCTGAAAGGGAATCTGATCTCAGCTATGTGCTGTGTGGAGAGGAGGACATCTATTGACTGCCGTGTGTGTGTGTGCCAGGACAAGGTCATCTAGCTCCCAGGGCGAAGATGACAAACTAAGCCCCCTATGTGTGAGCATCCTGTCTCAGCATAAATCCCTCCCCCTGAAAAAAAACACTAATCAGCACGCTCTCCCCAAACATAACTTCTGTCTGCAAGCCAAAATTCTTCCCTAAAAACAATGCAAAAATTCCTCCCCCTCCCAGTATAAACCCCCATCCTGGCACAATCTTTGCCCCCAATCCCACCTCCAATGTCCCCAATTCCCCCCTCCTAGAATAAATCTACCTCACCGAAAAAATTTACCCTTCATGCACACATCCACTATCCTCTCAAATCCCCCCTCCTAACACAAACCCCCCCTCCTAGCACAAATTCCCCTCCAGTCCCCCCTCTTAACCCAAATTCCTTCACCATGTCCTAGCACAAATCCCCCCTCCTAGCAAAAACCTCCCCAACCCCCCTTTCTAGCATAAATCCCACCAATTCCCCTATCTAGCACAAATCCCCCCACTAATCCCCCCTCCTAGCACAAATCCCCCTGCTAATCCCCCCTCTTAGGACAAATCTCCCATTCTAGCACAAATCTCCCCCCCTGATCCCCCCTGTTCATCCCTTGTGAAGGCCATAAAGTTGATAAAGAAAAAAAGAGAGTGAAAAAATGTAAATTAAAATAATAATAAATTCCCCCCTCCCCTGTGCTTACACACAAATGCAAAAAGCATATGCAAGTACCACGAGCATATGTAAACGGTGATTCTACCACACTTGTGATAGGAGTAATGATGTGTATTGTTGCGAACGTCAGAGCGAGATCAATAATTTTAGCTTCAGACATCCTGTGTAACTCTAAAATCGTAAACTGTAAAAAGGCTTTTAAAGAGTTGACTATGGAGATTTGTAGGTACCATAGTTTGATGCGGTTTCATGGGAACACAATTTAAAAGCATGACATTTACACACAGTAACATCAGCTTTTATATTCCAACAAAAAATTATATATTATATAGTGTTTGTGTGAAATAAGATTCATTTAATTGTATTTTTCCCCAAAAAAATTGCCTTTGTAACCGCTGCACAAATACCGTGTGACATAAAAAATTGCAACACCCACCATTTATTTTCTAGGGCCTCTGCTAAAAAATATATAATGTTTTCAGGGTTCTAAGTTCTAGCAAAAAAAATACAGATTTTTTATATGTAGGAGAGAAATGTCAGAACTGGTTAAAGACATAAACAGGAGATACATTTAACTGCAAATGCTTGCAAACAGGTTGCTAGTATGTTTGTGCCAACAACCCTTCCATTCTTTTTACCCTTGTATGCTCAAAGGGTCGCTATACTATACTATACTATACAATACTGTACTATACTATACAATACTGTACTATACTATACTATACAATACTGTACTATACAATATTATTATTATACAGTATTTATAAAGCGCCAATAGTTCACTCAGCGCTGTACATTACAAAGGGGGACAGAACATGTGACAGAACAATACCAATACAATGCAAAACATGAGGGGATCGAGGGCCCTGCTCTTTCGAACTTACTATCTAGAAGGGATGGGATAGTGGTACAGGAGGAGATAGCTGTGGGGATGGAGTGGTAGGAAGAGTGGAGGAGGTCAGCAAGTTAGCAGGGGGTGAGGTAGGCTTCCCTGAAGAGATGGGTTTTCAGGGTGCGCCTAAAGGAGAGGAGAGTAGGTGATAATCTGATGGGGTTGGGGCAGGGAGTTCCAGAGGATGGGTGACACCCTGGAGAAGTCCTGGAGGCGGGCATGGGAGGAGGAGACCAGGGAGCTAGAGAGAAGGAGGTCTTGTGAGGAGCGGAGTGTGCGTGCTGGGTGGTACTTGGATATTAGGTCAGTGATGTAGTTCGGGGCAGTATGGTGGACAGCTTTGTACGTCAGTGTTAGGATTTTAAATTTGATCCGTTGCGCAATCGGAAGCCAGTGGAGGGATTGACAGAGGGGGGGGGTGGCGGAAACGGAGCGTTTGGAAAGGTGAATGAGTCTGGCAGCCGTATTCAGGATCGACTGAAGCGGGGATAGCCAGCGGCGAGGCAGGCCAGTGAGGAGGGAGTTGCAGTAGTCGAGTCGTGATATGATGAGGGAGTGGATGAGCTGTTTAGTGGTTTCTGGGGTTAGGAACGTGCGGATTTTGGCGATGTTGCAGAGGTGGAGTCTGCACGAGTTTGTTAAAGATTGGACTTGGGGCTGGAAGGATAGGTTGGAGTCCAGAATGACACCAAGTACTCTGGCCTGCGAGCGGGTTTGATATTGGCGTTGTTGGATGTGATGTAGAAGTCAATGGGGGGTGGGGTTCGGGGGCTGGGGGAAGACAAGGAGCTCGGTTTTGGAGAGATTCAGTTTAAGGAAGTGGAGCGACATCCAATCTGATATGTCGCTCAGTAGGTGTGTGATTTGGGCAGAGACCGAGGGGGTGAGGTGGGGGGTGAGAGATAGATTTGTGTGTCGTCAGCATAGAGGTGGTAGTTGAAGCTGTGAGAGTGTATGAGTTGGCCAAGGGAGGAGGTGTAGATGGAGAAGAGAGAAGGGGCCCAAGGACAGAGCCTTGAGGGACCCCAACAGAGAGGGGGAGTGAGGGGGAGGTGGTAGCATTATAGGTAACGCTGAAAGAGCGTTGTGACAGGTAGGATGAGAGCCCAGGAGAGAGCAGAATCTCTGAGGCCGAGGGAGTGTAGTATTTTGAGGAGGAGGGGGTGGTCAACTGTGTCGAAGGCCGCAGAGAGGTCAAGGAGTAGGAGCACTGAATAGTGGCCATTAGCTTTGGCGGTTAGAAGGTCGTTGGAGAGTTTGAGTAAGGCGGTTTCGGTGGAGTGTAGGGGGCGGAAGCCAGACTGTAGGGGATCGAGGAGGTTGTTGTCGTTGAGGTGAGAGCATAGGCGGGTGTAGACGAGGCGCTCGAGGAGTTTAGATGTAAGTGGGAGCAGGGAGATGGGTCTGAGGTTGTTCGGGTCATTGGGGTCCAGGGAGGGCTTTTTAAGTATGGGGGTGATGTGTGCATGCTTCAGTGGGGAGGGGAAAGTGCCGGAGGAGAGGGAGAGATTAAAGATGTGGGTGAGGGAGCGTAGGATGGAGGGGGAGGGAGGTCGTAGAATTGTGAGGGGATAGGGTCGAGGGGGCAGGTGGTGAGGCGGGCATCAGAGAGGATCTTGGAGACTTCCTCGATGGTAGTAAGGTCAAAGGTGCGGAGTGTTGGGGGGAGCTTCAGTATGAGGAATGTAGGGGTGGGTGTGGGAGAGAGGTCAGAGCAGTGGTGAGGCCGTGGAGAGGGGTGAAGAGGGGTAGCTAAGTGAGGGGAAGGGGGTTGGAGGGAGTTTGAGCAGCGACGAAGTCCCTGCGGGTAATGTCGAGGGGGGGGGGGGATGATGGGGTAGCTGTGTGAGAGGGGGGTGACGGGTTGAGAGGGCGTGTGAGTTGCGGCAATGTCCTTGCGAATTGTGTCAATCTTGTTTTTGAAGTGATTGGCAATCTCAAGGGCGGTGAGTGAGGTGCTGGGTGGAGGTGGGGGTGGAGAGAGTAGAGAGTTGAAGGTGGAGAAGAGTCGGCGAGGATTGGAGGAGAGGGCCTTGATGAGGGTCAGGAAGTAGGCTTGTTTGGCTGCGTGGAGGGAGGAGGTGTAGGTGCGGAAGGCAGATTTTGTAGCAGGTGAAAGCTTGTTGAGATTTTGTTTTGCGCCATAGTCGCTCCAGGGCACGACTGCGTCGTTTGAGGGTTTTGGTGTGATCAGTCTGCCAGGGCTGGAGCGGTCGGAGTCTGATGTTGCGTGTGGTTAAAGGCGCTAGTGAGTCAAGGGGCCCCCCCCCCCCCCCCCCCCCCCCCCCCCCGGGGGGTGCTGACAGCGCGTTGTTGTAGGCAATCATAGCCAAGTCGGGGCAGGACAGGGGGAGGATGCGGTCGTGGAGTTGATCAGCTGCAGAGTGGAGGGGGGGCAGGGTTAAGGTTGCGGAGGTTACGGCTGGTAGTAGTGTGACATTTGGAGGGGTAGGTGTTGGAGGACGAGGAGATAGAGAAGGTGATCAGGTTGTGGTCAGAGAGAGGGAAGGGGGTGTTAGTGAGGTTGTGGGGAGCGCAGCGGTTGGAGAAGACAAGATCAAGGATATTACCGTCGGAGTGGGTGGTGGATTGTATGCACTGTGCAAGTGCAAAGGAGGAGGTTAAGTGGAGGAGACTGGCTGTGTCCGGGTTGTCAAGGTTGACAGGGATGTTGAAATCCCCAAGAATGATGGTGGGTAGCTCAGAGGAGAGGAAGAAGGGTAGCCAGGAGGAGAAGTCTCCAGGAAGCGGGGTATGGATCCAGGAGGCCGGTATATCACAGCAATCTTCAGGGGGGTTGGGGAGAATAGTCGGACACAGTGGGCCTCGAAGGAGGAGAAGGATAGGGAGGGGGGGTTTGGGAGGACTCGGAAGGTGCTCTGCGGTGACAGGAGCAGACCAACCCCACCACCTTTACGACCGTTAGGTCTGGGTGAGTGGGTCCAGGT